TTGCACCGAAAAGAACCTTTTTTATTTATAAGCTACAAGCCATACACATTTTTCCCTCAGTTTTCTCAAAATGTGAAATTTCAGGGGATTGGGTTACAATAATGATTTCTCAAAACATACCCTTTTATTTACTTTTAGGTCTGTTACTTTAAATACTTTCAATCTCTTTGATTTTGAAACTTTACTTTACATGCCCGTTTGTGAGTGCTTGGTGTTCTTAATTTCAGAGGGATTTGTCTGTAGAACAAAAATTGTGTGAGGGAAAGGTTTTTTCAACATTTTTGAAACACAACAGGATTTTTCTCAGCTTAGCTATAATTTCTTCCATTCATGTGCCTGTCAAAAACTTAACTGATTAAAGCATACAAAATTCCTTCTGTGGTTAGGTTTTGTAAGATGCTGCGAATACCTGCAGCAATTTTCAACCGTACAGTGCTAAAGGTGACTGAGTTAATTTAATAACCTAATACTAATACATGTACATCATTTTTCACGCCTGAGACCCCAATCAGTCCCTGTGTAGCAATCAAACGGGTTGAAGAGTTAACTCTTTATCTGCTCGGGGCCACACACTGCGTGGCGCCTGCGTGATTGCATTCAAGGATGCGATAAAATGCAAATGCGAAGCTTTCCGATGGGGAGTCTTTATTTTATGTTTCCCCAACTTTTGTGATTATGATTGCGTAACATAAAAAGATATAAATTCACAAACAAAATGCTCATTTTATAAAAGTTCATTCATTTCTTGACATTTTGGTGTATGCTACAACTATATTTCAGTGTATTTGATCTAAATATAGCTTTTTGGGGGTAACACCCTTGACAAGGGGAAAAGCCCCAACAAAATCTGTTCAAACCCCAAGCAGCTAAAGAGTTAAGTAGAATGTCTTAGATAACCCCTTATATATCACCAGGTAATCAATCAAACTTTTATTTCAGTTTCAGCTGTACATACATGTACGAAAAGGTTCTGTTGTCTCACAGTAGTGCCTCCACTTTAAGAAAAACATGCCTTTACCAAGGAACTGTTCAGTCACATACATTGGTGCATCGACCATAAGAAAATATGATAATATAATTATATGAAACAGTGGAGCCCCCAAAAATGATAAATGACTGGACAAAGAGACTTGATTTTTGTGCCATATTTTTTATTTTAATGTAAAAAGGTAGCTTTTTTCTTTTCTATAGTCTATAGCATACATCTACCACTCAAACTAGGGAGTGTATTGGGGGAGTAAAGACGGCAGTCGCTCGGTCAGTTGTACTCTTGCCAGAATGCCTGAATCTTAAAACAATTTTCCTGCTGTACTGCGAGCTTGAGGTAATGATAAACAGCGGCCTGAAAATATTATAGTTGGAAATACAAGTAACAGCAATGGAAAACACACGTACAATGAAGCCTTCAATTTCTGGATAGTTAGAGGTTAGTATATTGTACCATAATTCAAAATACAACACTGGGCTGGCACAAATTACATCCCTAGTTGCATCCCTTACTCGCACTTGAAGCAGGAAGATGCGTGAATGTTACAACATAAAATTTACAAAAGCTTGCATCCCCTTCTCACCAGCCTGGTGTTTTTCTCTCCCTCCGAATTATGTTAGGACAATTGACAATGAGTAACCTTTTCCTGCAACATTCATGGGTATGAAATGGAACTACGCATCATGCCCCAATTGCGTTTACCTGAAAATCTAAAGCTGTCACAGAAGGTGCATGTGCATGTATAGTAACATGAAGAAAGTCCAAAGATTTGCAGAAATATTCATAACAAGTTTAAACGACTTATCGGGACACAACTTCTGATAAAACTGTATCATGCCCTTTTAAACAAAGATCTGCAAAAATATCCCTACTGTAGTGTAAGTCATTTTGCAAACTTAAATATAAGAAAACTTCACAAATAAACAATATTGCATCTAGTAGCTGTCTATACTTCCTTCCACAGATATGATGTATAAACTGGGACAATATACTGGCCACAACTTCCTGATCATACTAGGGGGCTATAATCATTCCTTTTTAATTTGAAACAAATTATCGGCATGCAACACCCATGCATTCATGCAAGCAGGATACAAACATGTAACACAGACACAAGCTCTTCAAATCCGATATACTCATAAACAAGAACAGTTTTTCGTCATTCCCTTTGGATCGGTGAAGCATTTGCTGCACTAAAGACATAGATATGACATACACCAAAAAAACACCAAAGTATACGCTCAGACTTACCACAGGTTTTAAAAAATGCAAATGCATACCTGAAGCCATGGGAAGACTTTAAAATCATCCTGTATATTTTTTTATGAATTATAGGTCTCCTCCACCAGACTTTCAAAGACATAAGACGTTATGAATTAAAAAAAAAGGTAAAGGAGGTAATGGCATCCCTCCAAATCCAGTTTAAAATTCATGATAAAAATTTTTTACATTTTATCATGGCATAGTAAGTCTTTTTGCACCATACACAACAGAACATCATATTTCTGATTTATATGATCATTGCAAGTTTAAGTGAGCAACAAGATTTATATAGTACCTAAATCACTTGGGTAATATGATCTACATCAAAATCAGACAAATGAAAGAAAAGACATTCCTTAGCAAATTGAAATCTGGTAAAAGAACATGGGGTCAAACGCAATATAATCATAATCAATAACTTACAGGGCGCTGATGATGTAAATAACCAACGATCAAAATCTTCCCAACTGAAGTCTTAGGTGAAAAAGAATTGGTTGTAGCACAGGAAAATCACTGCGACACTTACCCTCTAACCATACACTTTGTTGCTGAGAGCTGAGAGAAGCAGAAAAAAAGGCACTTCAAATTTAGAATAGAGAAAAATATTCCTTTGCTTTTTCATAATATCTGGCAGCACATCTATAGAAAAACAAATAAATACCTTCATCTTACTTTTTGGGACATCTGTATTGTTTTTCCCTTCCTTCAAATGATTGTGAAGTAAATAATTAACCTAAAGAAAGGATTAATTATATCAGTTCCCATCTTAAGGATAATACACATTCATGGCCAGTATGGTACATGCATGCTCTTTTAAAATGTCCTTGCACTGGGAAGAATCCAAATTACAAATGCATGATGTACACATGTACATCAGTTTTCAGTGTACAGGGTTTAAAAAAAAAAGAAAAATGGAGACTTCTGATGTAAATCAGTTAGAAAATCTAAATAAAGGAGATTCACATTATCTGGGTTCCAAACAATAGATCAAGTATACAGGCCCGGTCAAGGTTCGCAAAGCAGGAAATACATGAACAGAGCCTTGTAGATTTGACATTCTAACATCATGACCCTGTCCCACAGATACTAGGAATAGCAACACAGTCATAGACTCACTGCACTGAATTCCATCTTTATTAGTTGTTTACTGTTTCACTTGAAACTTATATGTTATGCCTTAGTGAATTGAATTCCATAATTTGGGGTTTTTGGGACTCTCAGGGGCCCCCAGTATCTGTGCTTTATGTTCAGAGTCAGAGAAGAGTTCCAGTTGACTTAATAACAGGCCTAGTTTCACAGAAAGAGACAATAGTAAGCACAAAAGAAATGTGAACCTTGTGATAAACAGCCAACAGAGATGTTACTTGCAATGGGTCTATGGGTTAACTTTATAGACACCTATTATATCAGTCCTATAACTATAAACATATATCATGTACATTCAAAATACATAGACGAGGCTGACCTAAACTAGTGTTCACAATAAGTTCTCTTTCTGTCTCTATGTCCCCCTTCTCTGTTCCCCTCCCTCCCTTTCCCCTTCACCTACCCATTTCCTCTCTCTTTTTCCGCTTGCTCTGCACATGTTTTCTCCTTTTCTCTTTTGTCTCCCCTTCCCATACCCTCATTTCTCTTTACAAAACCCTTTTATTTATTTTTTTTATAGTTGGTACCGACAACATGATATGCTAAATTCCCTTAACTTTTTTTTCCACAAAACCTTTTAGTTTTTAGAGATTCGATAGAATCTATGAAAGAGTTGCATAAGTTGGAGGATTTTTCAATTTTTCTTTTGGGGGGATTTACTTTTTGCATAATTAAGATACTTGCAAATTCTTTAAAAATGCATACATACAACAGTAAACATATTAACCACACAGTGTAAGACCAAGCAGTTGATATATTATTAATATTATATGTATATTGTGCACTAATGACAGGTAAAACACATTGAACTGTTGAGCTAAAAATACAAGTACAGTAGTCTCCGCCTAAACGCACAGTGCTCGGGAGGGCTCCTTAGCGTGTGTTTATACGGAGCGTGCGTTTACATGAACCTTTGCAAAGGGAGGAAGGGACCCAGTCATCCCATTGCCTTGATATTCTAGAGATCTCCCTTTGTGGTGGGGGTCACTTTGGGCTGATAATGTGACGACACATGGCTGTTTTGTGAAGGATGCCCAACTGCAGTTAAGAAAACAAAGGTGTTGAATGGGGGTGGGCAGAAAACAGACTCAATGTAATGATATGAAATTTGAGCGCAGCTGATAAAGCTTACTTGGCTAATCTTTCATCCTATGGAGGCCTATCTCATTTCCAGAGACCAATCAAAAAACATTTCAGCCCCCCCCCCCCAAAAAAAAATAAAAAAATAAAAAACAAACAAAACATTTCACCGACCAGTCCTAGACCTATGTGTCTGAGGAAAGTTGGATGTGAAAACGCTGTCCATCACTCTTTTTGTTCGGCATGAGGGACAGTCTCACTAAAATCTGATTCTCTTGGCTTGTCTTATGCAAGCTGTGCAGAATGTTGTGAAATTTCCCTTTGTCAAGCTTTACCTGTTGGCTTGTTTTGCGGTTTGGAGCGTGTGTTTAGAGGGAGTCACCGTGCGCTTGTACGTCTAAATTCTATAGTATAAAAATCCCGTCAAATGACAAAAGCGTGAGTTTGAGCGGAGCGTGCTTTTATAAGGCGTGCCTTTAGGCAGAGACAACTGTTCCAATACATGATGTTCAACAATTCGATCTTAAAAATCTGTAATAACTTTATTAAACGTAATATTTGCACATTATTGCAGGAACATGTTTGCCATTTTTAGGGGGGAAAAAAAAGCAAAATCAACAAATCAAACACTCATGACACAGGGAAACTTAAATGCATACAACAATGCAGGGTCTTTAAAAACTATTAGAGTATCGCACCATTGAAAAAAGAAACATTTTCACACATTTGCTGTGACATGTGTAAAAAAATGTTCCTCTTGATGGATGTGAAGTAACAGAAAAGTGATAGACATGGTGTAAAAATAAAGATTTGAAAAGATAATATTACTGTAAAGTATAACAGTGTATTTTGAAAGAAGCAATATATGGTGTACATATTGCAAAGATGATGAACTGGCTTTTGCAAATAAACAAAACAAGAATCAACAGAGGAAAACCAAAGACTAAGGGGGAGGGCTTTATTTTTAGCCTTGAGACCTGCAACCAAGAGATTTTCTCTGCTTATTATAAAAACTGGGAGGGGGGAGAGCACCAACACAAAACACTACAGACTACACTACATTATATTTCTATAATCATAAGATTTACCACAGAGTACAAGCAGTCTAAATCATATGAATAAAGCTGCCAACACTATTAGACTAGTGTAACTCATGCCAATTCATCTGTTTTAATACTATGCAGAAGGGAAAAAGGATACATATCTCTTTCCCGAAGTATCACAGAATTACATTTTCACACTTATTCAGCCACACCTTTGGTCACAACTCAGGAATTCTAAAACAAAATTCCAAGCAATTGAGAAGACTGCCAAACTACAACTCATGTGAATTCATTCCATTAGATGTATTGTTGAAGTCAAAAGTGTAAAAAAAAAGATTTAGATTATCTGTATACAGCAGTCATAAATATATGCAAAAACTCACAAATTTTTCAACAGGCCCAGGTTAGCGTCACTTCAATAAAAACAAAATCTATGCTGGCATGCACAATGATTGATGTAAATTAGGCCCATTATGACCACGGCATCAAAATCATCAGGGGCCCTCCTTCCAAACTTCTACAAGACACATGACAGTCTTATTTCATATTAACTAGTTTCTTTCAAAGAAAGCGCCTAGTAACTGCTGTTTTTTACTGCTACCAACTCTTTCAAAGCCCATAGGCCTCTTTTTCTTATTCTATCAATAAGTCACCATACACAAACTGAAATATACAAACAGAGACATAAATTTTCACACACTTTCATTCCCCACTATAACACAGTACCGGTATCCCTCTTCAACATCAATCACCACATCAATTTTATTGTCAAAAGTGAGCTTTTTTTTACTCATCACTGCTGCACGTACAAATCTCAATGCCATCATTTTTTTCATATTAAAACTAAGTGACAAAGTGATTTATGACACCCATGAGAAGGACAGAATGTTCTTCCTTTATACAATCAAAGAAAGGGCGAAAATGAGCTTGAGAATACCATGTTGGAGTCGGTGTGAGACTTGGTAATGAAGTAGGATTTCTTGCAAAGTATATAATTGTGCATGCCAGCAGCACAGACTTGTCTATACCCACATCGGAATGTGATGGAAACTTGAAAAATCTTTAAAATAAAGGCAATTATTTTTGAGATCATATCCAAAGCTAATAACTCTTAAATGCAGTAAGAAATGAACAACAAACTGGCTTGAAACAAGAATTTTACTGGGCTCAGGCACAATCCACCAAACTCTTAAAAAGTAAAGTTTGCGAGAACAAATGTTTGGCACTCACAGTGTATATAAACAGATTATAAAGAGAAATTCTCTGATCTCAAGAACATTGTAAGTGTAAGTATTTCAGCTGGTTCTAAAGTCAGATTTTTTTGGGGGTTGATTCAAAATGATTTAAATTGTATTTGCCAGTTTTTCTGGTGTAAAAAAAAACTTTGCAGACTTTGATGATTGTGCCAAAGACCATCGATGTTACCCAATGACATAAGGATGGCAGATGTATGCCTAAAGCAGACTCTAACAGATCTGCTGCTTCAAGCATAATCTTCAATCCAAGTAAAAGGCACCACGTAACAAAAGAGGGTATTGTTCAACAAGGATCCAGATTCTCTGCCCTATGAGACTGGATCATCTCCCATGTTTTGACGGATTTGCTCAAAGAAGAGAAAAGTTAGCACGGTGTGGGGTCCCAGTCTCACGAAGGCCGGCACAAAACCCTGTGGGGAAAAAAGGAAGTCCATGTAAAAATGTAAGTTGTCCATCCAGCGGCAATAAATATTATCATGAACTTTCAAATGAACTCGAAACTCAGCTTTCAATTTGAAAAAAAAACAAAAAAACAGAAAAGCCACAAACAATGCCAATTTAAATGGAATTTGTGTAACAAGCCTTGAATAATGAGCTTACCAAAATCATTCTCTATTGCACTCACAAACGACAACCTCAAATCCCACAGGCCACATCCAGTCCAACGAAAAATTCTATTCAGCCCACGAGAGAATTTTAGGCAAAAATTTTGAATGGCCCAGCAATATGAAGTTAGTATGTTTCTCATGAATTTCCGATAGGTCTGGATCAGCTTCTCACAAACACTGCCCTTTTTAGCACTATGAGACTTAATGTCGAGAGAAGCCGAAAAACCTGGATGCAGAATAGAAGCTACAGAAGGCAAAACAATTTAGAGGTCTAAATCCCAGAAGACTTTTGTCACCACAGCGAACTCACAAAGTGAACCTACAATGAAAACAAGTTTTTATAAATGGCAGAGGAGATTGCCAGATCAGTCTGACCATTTACTAAGGTGACAGCAAAAAAGCAAATGTTTGCTAATGTCAGTCTCAGCAGAAACATGGTTGCTCACCAAAATACAGCTGACTGAAAAAAGGCAAAGACTTTGTTGTATACTCTCTATGAAAGCACTGACACGAATGATACTGCACAGCTCACCATCTTCAGCCGAAGAGTGAATTCCCCATGAAGAATGTTACAGAAGAAATACTGAACATGAAATCTGTACATGGGATATCGATAGGAAAAGACATTTTTGACAAGATATATATATGTCAAAGTGTAACCAACATGAACCTGCTTTGGGTCATACTTTTTGGACTTACACAACTGGAGAGTATCAGGCATTTGTGGCCACAAAAAAAAAAAAGCACATATAGGAAAAATGCAGTTATTAAAGGCATGGGAGAATTGCTTTATCACAGTGAAAGGTTTAAACACATAAGAAACAGCCAGAACTTTTCAATCATTAACAAATTTCTGTAATGGACCCATTGCAAAGGTTGCCATATTCTTTACTAACTCTTTATCATCATCATCCAGTGCCAGATCTGCGACAGACATCGGCGATCATGGTTCTCCATTCATTCCTTTGCTCGGATGCTCTCAAAAAAGATACATTTCCCTGATCTTTCTCTGTAACCCATTTGTTTAGGTTCCCTAAGCAGGTTGCTCTGGGCCTACCCCTGCCTCGTTTGCCTTCAATTTTGCCTGTGAGAGCTAGATGTTCAAGACCCTTATGTCTATTCAGGTATCCCAAAAGCTGCATTTGTCATTTCCTGATTGTTTTTAACAGTGAGCGTCCCACGTGGGCTTCATCCAGCACAACCTCATTATTTTTTTTTTCTTCCACAATGCTCTTAGCAGTCTCCTAAGAAACCACATTTCTGTTGCTTCTATTTTGTTTTCACTGTCTTTAGTGATTGTCCAGCATTCACAGCCATATATAGAAGGGTTGACCATACACATAGCATTTCAGAACTTTCATTTTGGTAGTCATTTAGATGTTTCTATTTCTCAGGATTGGGCTCATTTTATTGAAACTAGTCTTAGCCATTGTAATTCTCCATTTCATTTCTGTGGAACATTTGGCATCAGATGTTATCATATGTGAGGCAGCGTGGTGAAATCAGGCGCTCCTCAAAATAATGAATCAAAGAAATTGGCACTCTTTTGGCCGATGGGCAATTAAAAAAAAAAATTTCTTTCTTTAGCTCAACACCTTTAATGTCCATTAAAGAACACATTCCTATGTGGATAGCACTGAAAAATTTTGATTAAAGGTACAAAAAGTGTAAATGTTCTGTTTTCATGGACTCTCAGGCTAAGGAAATAACTAAACTTTGGTAACCATTTTCCACTTATTTTACCTCTGAAACCAGGTGACCTCTATCTCCTTCAATCGCAATTATCTCGACTTGTATTGAAGATAACTGGATTTTTTTGGGATATTGCCATGCATTCTATTTTCTTTACATTCAACAATAATCCTTTACATTCACTTTCTGTTACAACAGTATCAAGAAACAATTGAAGGTCCTTTTCTGAGCCTGCTATTAAAACTGTGTCATCTGCATACCTAATGTTATTAATATTTTCTCCATTTACTTTGAGACCTGGATATTCTTCTGTGTTTCTAAGGATTGTTTCACTTTACATGTCAAAGAGGTCTGGTGACATAACACATCCTTGCCTCACTCCTCCCCTAATCTGCTTATATTCACAGTATTCTCCATTAATTCGTACAGCAGCATTCTGGTCCCAGTACAAATTTCTGATAATTCTTAGATCTCTTCCATCTCTATGTCTAGCTTCTCCGGTATTTTAAATAGTTCGTCATGTCTAACTTTATTGAACACCTTTAAATAATCTATGAAACATAAATACAGATCTTTGCGTGCTTCAGTGCATCTTTCATTAACATTGTAAAGGTGAATATACATGGGTCTCAACTCAGAATTTAAAAAAAAGGAAGAACTTTCCGCGCGATTGCGACAGAAGCCCATTTTCGCGAGACACCCACTATTATTATACTGTTGGGCCCTAGAATGTTGAAATAAAAACCATCAATTTATCAAAGCAAGGTTACTTCATACCAGTTTGAGGGTTTGGAAGATAATTTCAAGTAAGAGTCACTTACCAAATATTTACAATCTTGATTACGTACAGAAAGTGGTGGCGCACTGTGGTCTTGGGCGACTTATTTATATTTTCCCTTTATCATATTCGCCTGCATATACAAACTATATAAAAATTAATCTTGTTTTGAGCCTGAGAAAAGGCCTAGAACCAGAATATCGACTGTCATGAACCAGTCTGGGTGTAATGATTCATATAATAAACGTGAAAGAGAAAATTAATGCTCAAACTCAAAGTAGAGTAATAACATGAATAGCTCAAGTAAACCTTTTCAGTGTGAGAGGTGTAAGAACTGTGGGAGGGCAAGATGCAGTGACACTGAAAATCTGCGAATCTTGAACAGAAAGCTAACATATAGAGATAATTTACTGTCACCCATCCAATGAAACGCGAACATTTAGGCCCCTGTCCTAAGTTCAATAAAACACTTACAAGGTATGATGGATCCCGATTATACACAAGGCATGCACCAACGCGCACTTTATTTTGCAGAGCTGTAGTAGTTATCAAAATTCTAAATATTAAAAATTTGCTTCCAATTTCTTTTCTCTTTTTGTCCTCTGGTGTTGGGTCCAGTCCTCCCCCCATCCCCAAGTGTATCTTTTAAAAAAAATCAATAATCTCCCCCAATACCGGAGTCCTGTACCTCACAGTGCTCAGAACGCGCACAGGTTCACTGACCGGTCACAATGATGAGCCCGACAAGAGGCTTGTATAACTTTCTTTTCTTTTTTTTTGCCCCCACAAGCGACAGCACAGTGATGAATATTATTTTCATGGGGACACCACGTTCGTAATGCAGAACCTGCATGTTACAAAATGTTGCGTTATCAGACTTTTATAGACAAATTTCTGAGATCTTGATTTTCCGGTCGAGCCTCGGAGTCACATACAATTCCCCTTGCCACCATAGCCGCCTGTTCACGTGCAACATACTCTCAGACCGGGAAAAGCCGAATTAATATCACAATCGCGACCGGCAAAAACAAACTTAAAGACGTTATCGGATTTGGTTTTCAAATAAAATTCGAGATCTTTTATGTATTTTCCCTCGTCTCTGCGATTTTTTTCAAATTCCCGGGGCCTGGCAGTCACTCTGCTCCCAGCAACTCTCTTTCTGATTGGCCCGCTGTCGCGGTAGCGGAGTTTAGCGGAGGAAATGGTGGTAGCGGAAATCTGCTACATAGCGGAATATTGAAACCCACGATATAGCATTTCTGGTGCGCTTGTCAGGAACAAAGCCAAATTGCGTTTTAGATATCTCTGGTCTTATACTTTTTCTCAATCTTCCCATTATAACTCGCAGCAATATTTTTGTAAAAGGACTCATAAGGTTAATTGTTCTATGCATATCACACTCAGTGGCACCTGGTGTTTTAGGTAAAGCTATAAAAACTGACTTCATCATATCTTCTGGGATCTCACCGTAGTCATAAATAACATTTAGGAGCTTTGTTGTTATTTCAGTGCCTAGTTCTTAAAGCGCGACAATTACTTCAACTGGAATATTATCTGGCCCTGTGGCTTTTCCTTGTTCCTAATGGCAACTTGTATTTCTGCTTTCAGTATTGGTGGTCCATTTATTTCATTCTTTATTCCCGGTTTTTCTCCTCTATTATCTTTAAAAAGTTCTTCCATGTATTCTGACCATCTGTTTAAGACATCCCCATTGTCCATCAAAATATCACCTTCTTTTGATCTCATGCATCCTGTATTTGAGCATCCTTTTATCCCACTTACTTCTTTGATTTTGGAATGCCTGTATTTGCTGTCTTTGTTTTGGTTCTTCTCTATTTGTTGACACTGATCATTTACCCATGTTTCTTTTGCTTCGTTGCATTTTTTATTTTTATTACCCTGTTTAAGATGTTGTACCTTTCCACATTTGATTTTGCCTTTCTTCTCTCTTCCATTAGTATAATATGTCCTGGGTCATCCATTTTTTATTTGCTCTTTTAGCTTTCAGGGGGATATTTTCTTCCACAGTTTCCATTATTGAGTTTTTGTTCTTTTCCATGATTGTTCTTGGGAGATTACAGCAGTGATTTCCTGTTGCCTACTGCCGGTTGGTGTAGTTTTCTCTCATAGCCTTTGTCATCTACTGACAACCCACAAGGCAGTGGGGGCTTTGGTAAGATTTATGGCGCCTCCCGTCGCCAAGATGGTCCCTTCTTCGAGTGTGTGAGGTATTTATTGAAGCACCTGTGCCACCAGGGTTCTCCTCTAGACTCCACGACTATCCCCCATTTGGTTCGCGACTGCTTAGCAGCTAACCTCCATATCTGGAGGCCTTTCCCCTATCCACCACCCGGGGACGCGCTGGGTTGGGTATGAGGACCCAATACTAAATACTCTTTATAGTTTGGGTAAAAATCATACACCAGGGCAGAGATTTGAGTTCAGCACATTAGGGACTTTGTGAATCTCAACAACTTTGATAAAGATGGGGAGACAGCCCATCTAAACCCACTTCGTGTGAGGATGTCAAGGAGAAGGAACCCTGGCTGGTGCCAGCTGTTGCTGAAGTGGCACATTCAGAACTAGAAGGTTAGATAAAACATGAAAATTGACTTTAAGAGAACAGAAATGTGTTGTGGGGAGTCACTTTATGCAGAGCATAGGCACATCAACATCAGCCTCAAGTTGGCTGCGTATTTTGAGCAGGTTGGTGTTGACTCATCTCATGGAGTTGCTGTTACCAATCTTCACTACACACTATAACATTTTTCTACAACTCCTCCACAGTATCTTCATGCAAGAAAGCCTACAACAATGTTGTTGTCACTGTACTTGGTGTTGATAATTTAATCCAGCAGCTCTTTGCCATGACAACAGACAGCATTGACAAGTACAAAAAATCCATGCTTTGTGCCAAGGAGGCATCTTGGTGTTATCAGTGGCAAGAAGAGATTTTACAAACTTTGGCATTCTTTACATCACATTATTCCTTGAGAAATGTTATGAATTACCTCATAACTCAACTCAGTAAAAAAACACCTTATTTTTAATCATAGGCTTATGGGGGCTCTCGTGGTCTAAAGGTACTGTCTTTGCCTCTCAAGTCTCAGTCAAAAGCCTCTGGGATCAAATCTATCTAGCGACGAAAAAGTTCTCTTCTCTAAAATATTTTTTGTCTTCCTTTCCTGGCCTCTAGTCCTGTTCTGTCATCTCCTTTCATTATCACCCCCCCCCCCACCCCATGACTTCTCTGTGCTTCTTTCTCTCTCTGTTAGTCCTGTCTGTTTCTACTGTTATTCCTGGCTCCTACACCTATCTTTCAGCCACACCCCTGATCTAACAGGTAGTAAAAAACACCTAGCCTTCTCCGAAAAGGAAGAAAAGTCTCAGAAGTCTCATGTACTAATTGTGCAGGTAAAAGATTTCCTTGTGGTCCTAAAAGCTTCCATCGCCACCCTTGCAAAATTCAAATTATTTACTACCAAAACTGAAAATACTCTTATCAATATAAAAAAATATAAGAGTACTGTTGAAATCGCAATGTGGCAAGGGGCCCTACAGAGTAGGAAAAATGGTCATATACGTAAAAATGAGTCACGCTGCAGGTTGAAGAACTACCGCTGAGACCTAGCAGGGGAACTCAAAGAAGAAGACACACAGGCTGGTAAAATATGTACAGTTGGTAGAGAAGCCACTTTTTTCAAATAGAAAAACAAAATACAACTTAGTAAACAAAATCTAGTTTAAAGTCACTGCCTACCCATCGTATTTCTCACTGCTATCCCTGGTATACGCACCATTTCATGGTGTATTTTCAAATATCGCAGTGACCCACCCAACTGGCATAGAGTTACGAATATAGCTGCTGAACTCTGAAACAGCAGGGACTACAGTAACGGTAGGCAGTTGAAACAAATTTGACTGCAGCGTATGCAGCATGGAGAGGCAGTGAGTTGAATTTGTACTTACCTTGAAAAACCCCATAGGTCCGTTTTTGCCAATTTCAACAGCACATGACATGATACTCTGTATACAAACAAAAAAACAGTTCGATAACACTTCATTTTAACACCATCAGCGTTAAATTTGTAAGGATTTCAACTACCACAGAAGATTAACATATATACAGTGGTATGATAACTATGATCTGGACACATATATAACAGTCAACATGGTAAAAAATTAAACAAAGTTCATCCCCACTTCCTTTTCACACAAGAAACTTCTTTGGCAACACAATCCATCCAAAACATAACAAGTTCAACATAATTTCACCCAACATAAACCAAATGTGAAGCACTTAGCGAAAATTATCACAATTTGGCACTGTAAAATCTAACATTATTTTACTGTGATGTGCAATACAATTTCATCCCCTGATAAAGAGATTCTGAATTTTCTGATTTTCAGGCAGGAAATCCCAAGAAGTATCCTAAGAAACCCGAGTCAATAGCACAGTGTTAGAAAAGCAAAGTGTCCTCCTCACCTTATACGTCCCTGGTGGTGCATTCATCATTCGTGTCTTCATCACATCTAGTGGCTGGGTAAGTAAAGTTGCTATCATACCCTGAGGGATCAAAATATATTTGTACAGCAAACCAAAGCACCAGAGAAAAGCATTCAATTGTACTCATATCATCACCTGTCCCTAACTTTCATTACAAATCAACTGACTTTAATTTCAGTACATATTCACCCCCCTTTGTGACCTATCCTATATGACGAGCACCATTAGTCATCTCTTTTCTTACGTGGTCACTAAGGCAAAATGCTGCCATGACCAATAGTTCTCATATTGCCTTGTGAAGTGCAAAGGCCATAATAACGACCAGCATTATTCGTCATATTTCGTATTCTCTTAACTGTTTCTATTAGATACCCTTTGTAAAATTGATTCCAGGTTTGATTTCAGCTTTACCTTTTCTGTATAAAGAAAGATTTTACTTTTAGAGACATTTTGTTGCATACTTACAAACTAAATCTTATTATTATAGGCAATCGGCTACTAGATCAAATGCCACAATAACATTTTAAGAAATACCCTTTATCCCTGACGATCCTAATTTGTGCTCAGTGGAACACAATTGACCCTCAGTCATGGGGGGGGGGGGGGGGGTTAATAGCCATTTTACATGAATGTTGTATCTTTCTAAATTTTCATTTGAAAAAAGAAGAGCATGTCACAAAGCTTACTCAGCACATTTCAAAATTTCAATGACCAACACAACTATTCATAATGGATAGAAAAAAATCATGCAGAAACAGTCATTTCATTATTTGTATCCCTATAATTATAATAATGTTTCACTTTCTGCCCTATATTCCTAAAAAAAAAAAGAACATGCTGCTTACACGGGCCCCAGATAGAAAGAAAAGTGATAAAAGTACATTCTTTTGTTTCCATTAACAGGGAATAAAAATTCAGTTCAAACGAAAGGAAACAACTCACGGCTAAAGTGCTGGATGTCAAATGAAGGTTCATGTTATCGACAAAAAATCCTGAAGTCAGTAACATGGCTTTCAACTGGTCATAGCAAGCCAACTGACCAACAGTGACAAGGACAGCTCGTGAACTAGCCATTGTAGCCCCATTGAATGCCTTTGTGGGGCCTTCATAGCGCACAACCCTGTAAATGCCATCAATGGCGTGCTTGTAGCTGAGGAAAAGGGACATCAATTTTATTATATGCTCAGAAGAAACTATAAACATCTTCCACAAAAAACAAAAGTTGGATGGCGATAGTAAACGAAAAGCACACAACATGTGACAACCACAAATAACAAGCAGCATGGATGCACACAGCAATGTTGTCATCTCTGTAATTAGTGTTGATATTTTATTCCAGCAGCACTTTGCCATGACAATAGACAGCAGTGACTACACATACACAAATCCATGTTTTTTGTGCTGGAGTCTTGGTGTTATCACTGGAAACAAGAAATTTTACAAACTTTGGCATTTCTTTGTGCACATTACTAGACTGCAGCAAACGTATGACTGATAAAATAAAAGGATTGAAATGTTTTTATTCCACTCTCTGCCACTGCTCAAAGAGAACGTAACAGCCAAGTTAACCTAGGAAATCAGATTACACCCCTTGTTTTTTCTTTAAATGAGCACCATTTGAAATAATATAGTAAAAAAAATTACAGGCCAGTGGGTGCCTTTAAAAGAAATTAAAATTGATTCCTTTTCTGCAAACACAATTTGCGACCTCGGTGCTTCCTTGTCCCATCTCCATTTTTAATAACAGTAAAACCAGTTCGTAACAAAGAGTGAGCTTAAGAAGAAGTCACATTTTCAATGTTAAAAAAAATGGAGATAGGACAAGAAAGCCCTGAGGTTGCGATTTGTTAAGCTCATTCAACAAAGGAAAGAAAAGAAATTAATGTAAGTATTAGTGACCAGCATATGTGTGTGTGCCTAAAGAAAGGTACCAAAAGTCAGATTTTAACCATTTTGAGTTAAGGGTTGTACCTAATAGGACATTCAATGCTGAACAGAGTCCTTTTTTAAATTTTCGAGATACCTCAAGCAGTTTTTTAGATATTGCACATTTTGTGAAGTAGGGTATAAAGATCTAATTTTGAGAAAATTAGCTTTAACGTTTAGAACACATCATCATCATTGCCTTTCTCACCCTTGATCAGGACATAGGCCACGAACAAACACTTTCCACTTTTCCCTATCCTGGGCTAGTTGCTTGATGTCACTCCACGTCTTCCCACTTTTCTGTATATCCATTACCGTGACTCTTCTCCAGGTTTCAGGTGGTCTTCCCCTTGATCTTTTACCCTGTGGGTTCCAATCTAACACTTTTCTTGTTATGCAGCTGCTTGTCTTCCTGAAAGTGTGTCCAATCAATCGCCAACGTCTTCTTCCTACCTCATCTCTGACTGGGCTCTGTCTCGTTCTTCTTAATACTTCCTCGTTGGTGATCCTGTCTGTCCATTTGATCGCCAGAAGCTTCCTCAGACACTTGTTTGTTAAAGTTAGAACACATACAAACTTGAAAAAAACTATGATTCAATTGTTTTTAATGTATTTATTCATGGAAAATTCATTTCTAATTCGGCATTCAGTTGACATCAATATCATGATTAGAATTCAATGGTAAAACATAGCGGGGAAGAGAAAATGTGCTTCAAGAATAGATTTTAACATCTTTTAAAAGCAGTTTTCATTATCTTTTTAAAACATACCCTACCCTTAAAATAATTCAAAATAAAATATTTACAAGTCAAATCAATGAAAACTCTTTTAACACATTGCTAAAAAGTGGTGGAATAATAATTTTTTTACTATGGAAACACATTTTGGTCAAAAAAGAGATTTTTTGACATTATCAGCCTGTAGCTCAAATGGTCTGTGGCGACTTTTGGTACCTTTCTTTAGGCACACACACGTATGATTAAAAATAGAAGCAGGACATGAAAGAAAGCTTAGTTCAAAACCTTATATTCTGAGTCAAAATATCAATCTTCATCAGAGTGCTGTATCAAAATCACTCCTTTAGACTCTAATCCTACAAACAAGTTTACTGAGTCACTCAATCCAGATCACTTGTCATGAGTAAGTCCAAACAGTCCCTTCTTCATATTTTTCTTGGTATCAAACTTACTGATCAGATATATACAGTTAACCAAAGCTCACTCATACTCACTTTCTTCGTTCTTCTTTTGGCAACTTGATATCATTCTGCATTCTGAAAAAAAAAAAAAAATCAAACATAATGTAGAGGTATATAAAAAGAAGGCTATAAATTATTTTTGAGTTCATAATAAAGGACTCAACTCATTCTTAAGAGAAAACCATTCCTTAACTCTTTATCTTCGTGGAGGGTAAACCCACTACGGCGGGTCTCTTTTTGATACAAAATCTAAAATTGACAAAAACATCACGAAATGGGTAATTAAATCAAAACAAGTCAAACTATTTTGATACTTCTTAATCTAAAAAATGAACTCCCGATAAAAGAGACATGTTTTCGGCAATTGCCGAAAAAGCAATTTGATGTCGAGTCGTTTCAAAGGAATGTGCCCGAGCCACTGGGAGCGGCTTGCTGGAGACACAGAGTTAAAGTGGTGATAAAAAAAGAGAGAAAGAGCGAGCCAAAACAAGTAGGGATCTTAATTTAGAAATAATAATATTTTCGTCATCAATTCTATTCTGGCGTCATAGAGCTGAATGTGCAATCAACAGAAATGAAAGTACTGATCAGGACACCCTTCTCTCTCAAAGGCACCATAATCAAAAAACGAATTAATCTGATTAACCACAAGAAACAACTATCGGCCATCATTCAATTCTGATTTTCTTTCATTTTACAGAAAAAGGAAGACAAAAATTTTTTTTCAAAATAAATGTGTTTTGAATTTATGCTTGAAACTTTTACTTTTCTAGAACACTGTCTGATGCTATGTGCCCAGATTAAAGTGAAAGGGCCACAGCCCGTAACAAGTTTACCTAGATCTACATTTTCCACCTTGACCTAAAATACTGAAAATATTGGGATTTTACCTATGATTATAATAAAAACTTTCCTAAACTTATTAAAGTCGCATTTAACATAACTTCAAGTGAGAATCTCAGTCTTCATTTTCCATCAAACTTCTTCTCAGTGTCGATATCGTTATGCAAAGTCGACTGACTTTGCTCTTTGTGTTTACCTCAAAGGTCAGTCCCTTTGTACTGTGGTCAGTATCTGAAGTCAAAATAAAGAGCATGTTCCAGTGGCCTTGATAGCGTCAGCAGGGTAAACTTTGAAAACCAGGCAATCCCTTTATACCAACCTGACATTGACCAAATCAGCAGGGGTGCCGACGAACCCTCCTGAGGCTCCGGCTATGGCTGCCACGCCCACTTTTTGGTAAAAAGGCATAACTCCACCATCCTTGGTCAGCTGTTTCTTGACAGTCTCATAGATGGCGAATCTCGTCATGGAGTATGTCAGCTGGCAACAGAAATCAGAGCATGTTCTGCAAACTGTGACTTTATTATTTATAATGTCAAGATTAGATTCTTGTTTTGCTGTAAGTAGTAACGGTAAAAAATTAAAAGCGCTATGAAAATACTTTTCTGGTTTAATTTCAGGAACTAAATATTTGCTCCCTAATTTCCTAAATTAATAACGTAATCAAATTTGTTAAAACCTCTCTCAATGCATGAAATGTAACCACCATCTATTTTGGGAGGGGGAAAAAATAATGATAAACTGAAACAACATTTTAGTTTTGAAAGGTGACAACACAATTTTTAAATCTTAAAAAAAAATGTATGCACAACACTTTAAAAGCATTAACTAAAACTAAAAGAAAAAAGTAATGAAGTCGAAACAGTAACATACATGTGTGAGACCTCTTTAAAAAGGTTCTATAGACAAAAAGTGACTACTACCTGTCGACAGACTGATGCAGACAATCCATTGTAAAGCCCTAAGATGCCATTATTCTTGACAACACGGACACCCATCTGTAACAAACCGATCTTGCCCCCTTGTTGTGTTTGAAGATGCACCTGTAAGGAGGACATGGAAAGTTCACATACATGTTGAACATTACAACATTTACAATCAATACATACACACATATACGTGTGTTTGAGTGTTTGCCTGTGAGTATGAGCGCATGAGCCTAAGAACCCCATTTTAACTCAAGGCAGTAAACTTTTCCTGGGCTGGTTTATCACACTTTACATGGTTTGGTGTGGACAAGAGGATGATGAAGTCCACACACTAATGCTTACTTAAACAGAAATTTTTTTTTAAGGCATGCTCATAACCTCTACCAAGCAGGTCAATCGTTAAGTGATTTTCTATTACAATCACTTGCTCCTCTCACATGGTCAAAGCTTATTTGACAGCCTAATAAAAGCTGGCCCATTAACAGTCATTCTTTCCCTTCACTTATGCAGCATCAAATTGGTGCTGTTTTATATTTTCATCTTGCAATTAAATGATCATGTCAATGTTCTGTCTAAAAATTCACTGTGAAGCCTCTGGTTCTGACTTTCACACAAAACAACACACATTACTCAGACATGTACACACACACATTTAAAGAAACAACAAACCTCTCTTTCTATTCTTGGGCATCAACATCGCCTATGGGTCAACATTTCATCATAGAATTATAAACATGGGACGGCAACAGGTAGGAGCTGAGTTGTGCCCCTTGAAATCTGTCTAGATGCTACTCCGTCTAAGAACCCATTTTTTGTTTCCTGATGACCCCAGTCAGGGGGGAGGGAGGGAGGGAGGGAGGGAGGGAGGGAGGGAAGGAGGGAGGGAGGGAGGGAGGGAGGGAGAGAGAGAGAGAGAGAGAGAGAGAGAGAGAGAGAGAGAGAGAGAGAGAGAGAGAGAGAGAGAGAGAGAGAGAGAGAGAGAGAGAAAGAGAGAGAGAGAGAGAGACAGAGACAGAGACAGAGACAGACAGAGACAGACAGACAGAAAATCAAAACTACTACATTAATACCAAAAAATGAACCAGAGGCCAACCTTCAGTAGATCAAGAGGATGTGTGCAGCAAGCTGCCATGGCACTGGCAATGCCTCCAAAATACCATCGGCCGATGCGCTTGGTCTTGTCCACTTGAGCCATAGTGAGGTGGCGCTAGTAAACAATGCAGTCAGTGCTTCTTGTTTCTGCAAAAAGATAACACGAAGAAAAACCTATTATAATATAAAATTAAGCCCAGAAATATGGTAAACTTTAGAGAAATTTCATAATAAAAAAAACTTAAGCACTGTAAGTCCAACAGATAATGGGTGTAGTCTGAGAAATGGACTCAAAACCCTGTTCATACATCAACTAAAGATTGTCATCGCCAACTGTTAAAAAAACCCATCAAACTTTCTATACCACAGCAGTTTGAACAAATAAGGGTCTCACCTGACAATGAAAACAAAAGCAGCACAAAGTTACAGAGTACGGCAGAGTGAACGTTTTTTTCTGGAGCAGACTGTTGCTGCTATATTAATGTACCTCCTTCGTTCATTTTTATTTTTCTACTTTTATCATGTAACAGACAGAGTTTTCATCTAGTATGCTCAGTTTTCAAACTCCCTGGAAGTATGAATGAGAAAAATTTAGATGGATTATTGCAAAAAGAGATAACAAGTAAATATAAAAGAATGCACTATTGATAATGTTTTCAACAGACTTTGATATTCAACACACAGAACAGATCATCAGGAAATAATTTTAAAGACATGATGAGAGTAGGCAAGGAAGACTACTGAACATGTAATATTCTTTAAAAATACATAAATAAAAAGCAACTAAATTCACAAGGTAAATGTGTATAATGAAGTATAAAGTCTCTGTTTATACAATCTAAGCAAAATTCACCACAGTCCATACAGGGTAAAGTAAACAGATACTTTTATGTTACATCCACTCAGACTCCCCTCCCTCCTCAACCTACCCTTATCCATCACACACACACATACACACACACACACACACACACACACACACAAACACACACACCATCCTGAAAAACAAAGACCACACCTGTGTACATGCTCATGCCTTAAAAGTCAGTATGCATAATAAGTATATATTGCTGACTCGACAAACTGTAATTAGTACCAGGCTTCATTATGCCTAAAGTCCTGTTCACTTTCATCTGTCTGTGTTTTAAAAATTGTAACTCATTTATTAATTAACCATGACACTCCTGTAGAACAGCAACTAAACAAATTTTTTTTTTAAAATCATGATCCGGTAATAAAAATGTTTCTTTATCTGGGCCCTATATTAAACATTGCCATTTGGGTGCAAGCACAGGTCCCCTACAATAAATTATTTACAATATTCTAGCTATATATATATATATGTCTGAGATATAATGTTTTTCATGCTCCCTCGTGATTCCATCTTAGACAGGTTCAACTTTATATATATATATATATGTATACATGTATACAGTCCGAACTGTGTAAGACAGCCAGGTATACACACATTTATATACATGTATATAAAACGTACACATAGGCACACAAATCCACACAGACAAAAACAATACATAAATCTTGCATAGGCATCTATGAACTTTTACTGTAAGGTAGAGCATTGACAAAAATAATGACAAAAACAATGGTCCTTATGATCATATTACACACTGCAACTTTCACCATTTACATTATTGATCATTCCTAAATACGGTTGGCAAACTTTTACATAGAGATACTCTCAGGCAGACCACACCAATAAACTATGAATAACCCTTGACAGAGAAAATCTCATTAGCATGTGGCACAAACACATATGAAAGGATAGATTAAAAAAACAAAACAAATCCAAAAGCATTTTCACCTTTCAGGGAGCATGTAGCCTATAATGCCTGCTTTCTCTTACCTAAACAAAACTTACCTACCCATTTTTACGGATGCACCAAAGAATGGTAAAATTTTTTTTTTCTTTTTCATTTATGTATTCTACATCCCCGATCAATACAATTTAGATCCTTTAGGAGGTGGGTTTCCGACCCTGACTGTCACAGTCAACCCAGGCCAAGAGAGATACAACATCCAAGCAGAAAGACAGAGATGCTCAATAAATTTCCCCCCTCCCCCCCCCAACCCTGGAATCGAACTCAGGTATCCTCCATGAGACAGCGAAGCACCTAATGCACCACAGATGCTGGTACAAATCAGAACTGTCCATTTATAGAAACTAAAGAAAGGGGGGGGGGGGAACCCTTCACACAAGATATCTGTATGATGACGAGCAAAAACAAATGAAATACATATGTACAAGCAAAGATTTTAATGAACTTTAACTTTTTGGGTGCAATTTCACAGATCAACATTCATCTTCCCAAGAGAAGTGAACCATGACAACCTCAAAAACATATAACACGGAAAATAGAAGACAGAAAATCCAGACAGCAATTTATTTGAGAAAAAAGGCCAAGAGCAGACTGTTTTCGAATGGGTTCAAACAGAATAGCCCCGCACTAGATGACAGTTATGACACTGATATCTCACTCAATGTGATCCTGCAAAAATATATCACACAGATTGAATATAGTAATATAGAGAGTTGGTACACATTAAGTGCAATCATCAACCAGTCCAGCTGTTACAAGAATATAAAACATTTAACTCTAGGAGACCATAATGGTTGGGTCATAACAATAACAATAGTCCAAAATAAAAGCCATAGGCTAGATTATTAGTATATTTCAAAGGCCCTGATCTTTTTTTATTCATTTTCTTTCATTAATAGGAATAGATTTGGAATTTTGCCTGTGTAGCTGGTTTCAGCAGGTCTGCACTTCTAATTCTTTTTTTTGTTTTGTTTATGATAAGTGTTTTATGGCGCTCCCAACTGCATAAGGTCATATATATGAGCGCATGGGACATATCAAGCATATTTAGTTTGGTAGAATTAATTTTAAATTTTGCCCAAGTGACAGCAGAAACCTACTCTTATTGATTTAAGACCACTAAGGGATCTTTAACTTGTACAACTTGCACACATGACCTCCCAGGATTTTTACGCCCTTTCCAAGAAGGTTAGGTGATAGAACTTACCTACCCTTAGATCAGGGGTGTGGCAAAAAGACAGCTGTAAGAAGGAGCTGGGCTTTGCAGTAGAAAGAGTCAGGAGTAAAGGAGAGAGAGGAACCTGAGGACGGGAGTGGAGATGAAAACAGACAGATAAACATGACGAGAGAACATGGAAGGATGTGAAAGGAGACAATTGTAGAGAAGAAAATTTTTCTATTGCTGTCATCAGGTTTTTAACCCAAGACCTATTGAATGAAAGGTGAACACCGTACCGCTAGACCATGAGACATGAAAACCTTATAGGTGGTGCACATAGGGGGATTGGTTCAGATCGGATTGTTTTCTGGTGGCTTCAGTGCACACTACAAAATAAACCCCACTGTGATTGTATCCGATGACCTGAAAACAATCGCGGCAGGGGTCTGCCTTTGTAAACGAAGGTTATCAAAATAACAACACTTCCCATTCACAGGAAAGCCACATTCTTGAACGATGGCTTCCAGGGCCCTTTTCCGCACATGGTTTGAATGTTGCGGCAGTCAAGAATCCCATAAACAAGGGAAGGATCTACATCTCAATGATCTCCTCGAGACTGACGGTTGCTATGTTATGAATTGTAATTTGTTATGATATTTCAAATGAAAGGACTGATCTTAACATTACAGTGTCAGTCACGATGGTCACATGACTCGTAGGTTACAAAGCCTTGTTGTGATTGGCTTACACAAATCGATCACCGGGGGCTCTCGTGGTCTAGCTAGAGGTTTAGAGTTTAGGTGTTTGCCTCTTATTCAATAGGTCCCAAGTTTGAATTCGGATGGCGACGGAATATTTTCTTCTCTAAAATGTTCTCCATTCACATCAAATATACTTGATACAGTCGATTTTGGAAAGCGGGGGCTCTAAATAGTAATATGAATGAAAAAGTCCATATATATCCGTAATCTCTTTTAATATTATTTAATTCCCCCTCTACCTCTCCAAGGCAACGGACGGATAGGTTGACGACAGCAACGACTAAACTTCAAATGTAAACTGCCCTTAAAAGTAACAAGTTGGCAAGTAGCATGTTTCTACATCTAAAGCTTGGAAGATCGCATCTGTGCAAAACTACACAAAATGACCAGAAGATTTAAAGTAAACGTTGAGGGAATTATGAGTGGGAAGTAGGTCACTAGTAGGATGAAATATCATTTACAACATAGACTGGAATGGGGATAATATAATAGCCCTTTTGCACTTTTGGGAGGAATTCCGTAACGAGTGACCACAATTAAACAGTAGAGTAGAGGGTTACGGTTGGGATCTAGATCTAGATCTAGATCTAGAACTTATTATAAAGAGCAGTAACAGTTGGAGGTTGGGTTGATACAGATGGACCAAAGTTCTCACTGTGACTGTGATGACTGCTCAAAATGACAAGCCAGGAGCATCCAACTTTCACATTTCACAAGTGAAATTTATAAAAGTCCACAGAACAACAGGACATTTTACTTTGCATTGCAACGTAATAATCTCGAATAATCTTATCACTTAGAATCTAGATCTAGACCTGGATCTAGTCTTTAACTTAAGATCTAGATATCTAGATCTAGATCTAGATCTAGATCTAGATCTAGATCTAGATATAGATATAAATCTAGATCTAATCTACAAGTCAACACTTCTGTTATAATACAATACACTGCACTACTAAACTACACATCTCCTCCGAGTCCAGGTTAGCCAATAAGGCTAGATCTATCTCTTAATTCCAATCGTAGACACACATATTTAGATCGACTTACATCTTAGATGTAGACTTAATAAATGCCTACCTGGACAGCTTTCGGAGTGCACCACGCCGGACGTGAGAATAGAAAACTGAAGTTCAACGTTGTCACCTATTCCCGGTGAAATCCATCATGACCGACTGTCGGTCAAAGAAGAGGTTAAAGGTTAGTTCACGTTCACAACCTTGACCTATGACTGCACTGCACAATATCAGCTGCTTGAACTTGAAACGCGAGCCGGTCTTCTTTTTCAAACCCCGCACAAATAAAAGCAGCACGAAGCAAGAGAATATCTACACCCAGAGCTAAAAAGGGCCTCTTCAATCATCTTCAAGTTTACTGAAAGTGAAAAATTAACCCCCCACCCCCAAAATCGACACACTTCGAGCAATTATGCTTGACGTCTTCCTGTGGAGGTGATAAGAGCAGGACGTGTACCGTCGTGCAGCCTTCTTGCAAGTTGCAATGCGCAATTGGTGTTTAAACAAAAATATAATGCAAATATAAGGTGCAGTAAATATTACAAAAAATTTTAAAAGGCAAGACACATAGCCTATAGCCCTGCTTGCAAAATGATAGATGGCAGTGTCCGATTGGTCTACCATGGCTGTATCGAGACAAATGCCTCGACGTTCTTATATGTCTTATACCGTCAAGGGCATTAAGGCCTATGTATGTATATATTATAACGAACTTGACAAAATTTTGCCCACAGAAATTTTTTAACGATCGAAGTGAACGTAAAAAGGGGTCCCTTTTCAATAGTCAAATAAGGAAGTTTTGGTCTCGTTCATTTGAATAATAGACGCACGTGTAGGCCTAATTCTAGTTAAAAATTGTCATTGCAGGTAGTCTTGTTTGAATTATAACAGCTATAAAGGCAAAGATAGTGTCTCCCATTCATGTGTAATTGACGACTCGACGTTAAACTATGGTGGTCATTAATGACAGATAAACCAAATTTAAGAGATTAGATCTAGGCCTAGAAACTAGAAACTAGAAAATCTAATAATTATCGTTATCATTTCAAGCAGGATGAATACCGGCATGTATTTGGTCAAGATCTTAAATAAGCGTTTTGCATCACTGAAATAGAATGCAGATAACAAAATTATTATGTAGGCCTACTTAAATAGATCTAGACTCTAGATGTTTATGAAATCGAATTGAAAGTGCAGCCTTCTCTTTTCTGGCACCCCCCCCCCCCCCCCCACCCCGTGTGTGTGTGTGTGTGTGTGTGTGTGTGTGTGTGTCCATATCCAATTTCCTCACCCTCTCCGTTTCGTATGAGCGCACATTTCTGTTTCTGGCCAAATTAACCTTAGGACCTATCATAAGGTCGACGTCGGTGATCTACTATCAGTGCATAGATTCTAAGACCCCCAGTGTCGGATTTTTACCTGGGGTTAGACATTATTAAAAATTATTCTGCAGAAACTTCTTTCACAGTAGTACGTATAGTCTATCAATAAAAGGAGCAGCTGCAGAGTAGTAACAGTAACAGTCGTCTCTTAATATCTGACGATTACCAATGCACCTGCAGAGGCAAAGAATTTTAAATATATGTAGAAGGAATAATTATGTTAGATGATTTGTGGCTTATTCTGCTAAGCTGTATTTTATAAGTGGGTGGTTGGCGGGTGCTCTGGTGTGGTATGCTCCTCCTTTCCTATTAAACGTCTATCGCCCTTATCTCTCAAGCTCCTTCTTTTTTTGTGTATATGTTACCCTCTTGTAACACATCTATGCTTCGGCACTTAAATGACTTTTTTGTGTTGCAAGTGCTGTGAACTTCTTACTAAAACTAACTAAGCTATGGCCAATATGAGACCAAATCTAGCAGAGAAGAGTTTGCGACATAAATATTAAGCATGATCCATTGAAAAACTTCATTTCCACTTGTGAATGTGGGCCTCTTTTGGCCTAAGCATTTCTCATTCGTGAAGCCTTCGTGATGTGCCGCCCTCTCATTCTATAGGTCCTGGATTCGGAACTTGATAGTGACGGGAAAATGGTCTTCTCTAAAAATCTCTCCTTTCACTTTCACCTCCTTTCTTGTTCCCAGGACGTGCTTCTCTTCAGCTGAGTCGTTCAGCTCACGTCTCTCAGAGACTATTTTATTTCTTTAGAACGCTCTTTTTTTTTCTTTCTTTTTTTTTTTGGTGCGCGTCAATTCCATGCTTTCCTGAGGACAGCTCAGTACAGAATACATGTACTGCCTTTGGGGTTCCTGGAATAAGCCATTCTTACGATATTATGATCAATGAGGTTGAGAACTCAGAAAACAGACCCTCAGCATTGTTTGTGAACTTCGATGTCTGGTACTTTGCTGTGCACATTTTAATAAAGATGTTCTCATATACATGTGAGAACTCTGGGCTCACAATAAGCACAAAAAAGCAGAAATTATCTTCCAGCTTGTCAAACAGTTTGTTTGTTTTAGTAGAGGTTTTACGGCGCTCGCAACTGCACAAGGTCATATGAGCGCTAAAGGGTGGATGTCAACAGAGAAGCCCTTACAGGGAATCAAACTTACTCTGCTCACCTCTCTAGTTTCAACAGCACAAAGTACAAAGTCTGCTTCAACTATCAAGGCACCCCGAAAACAGTGGGTCACAATAGTGTGACAAACATACAAAAGATTAAGTAGAGGAAATGACGATAGTAAGGATTAGGGAAGAAAAGGCACCAGTTCCCTGTTGCAGTTCAGGCACTGTTATGAGCATGACATTGAGAAATCAGCCCATTAAAAAAAATTACATTTCTACTGTGCTTAAGAACTCGAAATGTTTATATGTCCCCCCCCCCCCCCCCCCCCCCTTGGGAATGGCCTAAAGACACTTCAATCAGTAGCACTGCCCTTGGGGTGTGTCCAACACCAGTGATGTAACGCTTCGCCTTTATCAGAGTCGGGTTGGCCAGTTTTACTTAAGGGTCAACCCCCCCCCCTCTCCCTCCTCTTCCCCCACCCCTCTCTCTCTCTCTCCTGCTGCTGCTGCTGCTGCTGCTGCTGCTGCTGCTGCTGCTGCAGACTACTACGTACTTTGCTATACTTTTATAGGGCATCTGTTCTGCAACCTGTGAAAAGGGATCAATTAAATGCAAGTTTAGACAGCTTCTACACAGGCGCACTATTGCTGTGGTCAGTGAATACAAAACATCAAGGAGATTAAAAGTAAATCCTTGCAAAACATTCAAACAATGCCGGGGACACGGCTTCAAGTGAAGACTGGAGGTCAACAGAGCACGTCCTTGAGCAGTGTACGATAATCCGACTCCAAACAGGTCACTATCCACAATCATTCACAATGCTGTGGCGTCAGCGCATTTTTATCGGAAGTCTACGCTCTGTATGGCGTGCTTTACGTGGTGAATATTATTACATAATATGCACACACTATAGATTTCGTCCCTTGTATGACCTATCTGTGTTGCACACGTCATAAAACTTTTACTAAAACTAAACACACAATGGAGCAAAGGCAAGTGTGTGTGTGTGTGTGTGTGTGTGTGTGTGTGTGTGTGTGTGTGTGTGTGTGTGCGTGCGCGGGCGCCCACGCGCGTCTGTGCATGCGCCCGCGTGTGCATGTATACAAAAATATGCCATCACACTTGTAATACGAACACAAGTACGCATCATAATATATCTTACTAACTTATGACATAACACACAGACACATGGAAGTATGAAGTCACACTGACATAATTCTTCTCCCGATTCCAATGTGCAGGAAGTAATCATGCTCGAAAGAGAAGCACATCGACCTTGTTTCGGTCATTCAGTGAAAAAGCAAGACAGTTTAGTTTTAGTAGAAGTTTTACGGCGCTCGCAACTGCATAAGGTCATATGAGCGCCAGAAGATTAGAGCTGTTACAAGAGAGTAACACACATAAAAAAGAAGAAGGGGAGATAAGGACGATAGATGTTTGACAGGAAAGAAGAAGCAAACCACAACAATTAGGACAGGAACGGCATAAGGATTAAAAAAAAAAAATTACCAGTGATACTTTCGCATACACATAATAATAATGTGTGCATAAAAATAAAATTTTCGGGAACCCATAATTGCACACGTGAACACCACAGAGACCACAACAAAATTCAACAAAGGAAACGAGAGAGTGTCAGTTTCATTTTATTGGCGTCAAGCTGTGAAGATACAGCGTCCACAACAAGATCATGTTATAATATAGTTTCAATAAAAGTACCACATACCAACCATAGCAGTTGTCTTCTTGGAAGACAAGTAGAGAGAGAATGGCCATAAAACGCAGAGGAAGAGCTGATACATAGACTGCACATTTACAAAAGGCATTACCTACTTGTGATAAATGTTTTATTTCTTATTATTTTTATTTATGCGTGTTAAATGTTTTATTCTTCCTCCTAGAAGGGCTGTGAGGAAGGCTTTTTTCAGACAACAAAAACAGTTTTCGCTCAACGTCTTTATTTAATGAAGTATATTTTTCTAATCAAGTCCCACAAAAATATGTAATACCGGTATACAACATGTAATAAATGAATGAGGAGTATGAGCATGCTATACATCTTTTAAAAAACACTTTTTCAGGAAAATTTTTTTGTTTCGTTAAAAGCATGCACTTGATCGGCAGCAGCCTAAAATAGAGATAGAGTGCTTGAAGCAGGATCTTGTGTAGTTAGTAACTTGCATTATAGTTCACAGAGGAAATTACAGCATGGAGTCTTTAAAGAAATTACGACAGCCATACAAAGAATGCATTACCTGAGCAAGATATAATGTGTCACAGTGTTTTTTCTTTAAAAAACAAAACAAACCTGAACAAAAGGTGTATAATACAGGTGAGACAGGCTACTTGAAAAATTAACTTTCTAAGCTCAAAAGTCAGTGATGCCATAACGTAAAGAACTCAAGCACTGGGTAAATTATATGTAAGAGGGTTCTGAACACTTGGAGAGAGAGCAGAATACATGTCAAGATTAACAAATTATGAAACATATCATTTTCCCCCTACTTTTGAGTGCAGAAATAAAATTTTATTGTGTTCTTCATATATCAGTGCACAGAATCAGATGTGTTGTGAGTATTTGGTAGGGTCGGGAAGCACAAGAAATACTTTGACATTTATTTTATTGTTTTCAGACAACAAAAGTTTCAAAAAGAGATACTGTACCTTATTGCAACTAAGAGTCTCACTGAGAGAGTTTATTAAAGTTGAATATCAGTGGTCTGACTTTACACATTAGCTAATTTCCAGAAAATGTTAGTCAATTACTGTATAATAAAAGCATAGAAAGCTTTAGATACCAATTCACCAACGAGGATAATTTTAACAAAGGTAACTCAGTCACAGCAAGAAAAAAAAGGGGATTGAAACCTGCACCATGCCACAGTACACTCAATAGGTGCATAGTACTGCTCACATCAGTTAGTAGAAATTGGCCAAAGCAAAGGAT